AAAGTAAATACAATTGTATCCTAATCAGAAGCGAAAACCTTATAGGCTTTTTGACGAAAAGAAGTTGGAGAGAAAGAAAACAAACGCATTGCGCTACTTGCGCGCAACAAGCGCTTTGACACACTTCTTTTCTGACTAAAGTGTGTAAAGGGTTACCAGCATTAAAGAAATGTTGAGATCTCAGTGTGTACGTATATTTCACACTTTCACACGAGTGCTAAAGCCGTTGAGAAGAGTCAGATCTCCTCTCAAAGCCATTTTTCCTTTTTCATGATAGTTTGGGCTAGAATCTCTACCATCAGAGCGATATCGCAAATTTTGATCGAGAAAGGTACAAAAATTATTCCGAACCTCTTTAAGAAGGGGTTTTCTGAAAGGATGCAGCTGAGGGTCAAAAGTTGTTTAGGGATCCGACTTGAAAACTACGGCGCACTTGCTCACGAATGGGAAAATATCGAGACTAGTGCTGAAGCAATGTTCGCCCTTTAACATACATTAGATTTTGTTCGATTTTAATGGGAAGACGGACATTCGTGCTTTTAGAGATGCGTACGGCGAAAACCATGGCGATTCGAACGACTTTAGCGCCTATCGTTGGAGCCTAAATTTGAAGAAGAATAGATTAATGCCCACAATGGGATAGCCTGGTCAGCTGCTCGGAGTCTAAGCCGGGAGAGGCTGCTAAAATCTCAAAGCGATAAGGGGCTGATCAAAGAGAATAAGTCTAAGATGGTAACGCTTGCATCGGAAGAGTGTTTTGATGATTGAACTCCGAAGATAAAGTACGGCGTCATTGGATTGCCGAGACGAGAAAACATCACCCGCTGAACGCCAAATTCAAGAATGGAGAAGAGCTGCTCCTTGGAACATGCAACTTCAGAGGCGTCGGCGGCGTAGATGTCCTCTTCATACACGCTTGGTCATGAATGTCGGTTCGCACGGAGGTTTGACGATGCGAATCGGAAGTTTGCGACTAAGAAAAAGTGTCTCAATTCAGCTCTGAGATCTCTACTGTTTACGTATCAAAATTAGCCTACGAAGAAGAGGGGCTGGAAACGTGTCATACCGTCATGGAAATGCTCTTTGAAGATCTCTTAGGGTCATCGTAGCTGATTCCAAAGCAAGATTGATCTTAAGGGAACGCTTTAAGAGCTTCACCGTAGGAGTCGCGGAATGGAGTGGAGTGAATAGGATGAGAGATTGTCCGAGTTTATCATGTCGATCCACACTGTCGGTGATAAATCGCAGCTTCAGAAGCCCTTCGATCTGCGATGGACATGGATGTCTCCTGATGGACAGTTCCAGAACGAAATCAACCACATCTTCTTCATTGCGAAGTTTTGCTTGGTGACACCGTTTTTGTTCTGCAGTTCTACGGGATGGAACCATCGTCTAGTTTCCGTTTCTTACTGATGTTTATCACTGATTCAAAAGAGAGCTGTGGAGTTGAGGGAATGATCAGCTCACTTGCGAGTTTGTGAGAAGATACCATTAGTGACAACATCGTTGAGGATACTCCTTCCCGTTCAATTGTATTGGAAAAGGGGTCGGTGCGAGACAAAACGACCGCATTGAGGTTTGTTGTTGGCCTGTCTACGCAACGCGATTCAAGAAACCGTCATTTGGGAAATGCTGAACGAGGAACGAACCGAGAAAAAGACTCACCAAATGCGCGCGAGGACGGAACGGTCGCTGGGTGTCTGCGAGGCTCCACCGTTCCTCGAAATCTGACGAATTGAGAGTACCACAGAAGATATGTGGGCTAAGGTATATCGTAAACATAAGGGAGGTGCAGCTTTGGAAAATCCTCTAAACAAGGAAATCACGGACATCGGAAAGGTGTTACCGTGTTTATGGCGCACCCTGTATATTGGGTAGGAACACCCTATTTGCCCAGGGCTTCAATTACCGGTTCTGTCTCAACGGTATTAAAGGCTTTCTTCAAATCGATGAACGTAAGACACTACGGCATTTTGTATTCTCCCGATACTTCGATAAGTCTTTTCAGAAAGTGGATATGATCGATTAAGCTGAGCCCTCTCCGAAGCCCGGCTTGCTCGCATGGCTGTCGTTCATCTAATATTAAGCCAATCCGTTCGGGAAAACGCGAGTGAAAAGCTTGTAGATTACAGATAGCAGGCAGTTTGAGCGATGATTGCCAATATCGTCTGGATCTCCCTTTTATGCAGCAACATAGTCTTGCTAGTTTTCACAACGCGGGCACTTTCCAATGCGACAGGTACTCGTGTATAAAGAGCCTAGCCGGGGTTCTGGCGATAACTGGTGGAAGACTCTTCAGATGTTCTGGTTTGACCCTATCGGGACCGGGCGCCGTACAAATCTTCATCATCTCGCAAATTCTGTATTACCTCAAAATCCACTGTAGAAACCTATCAACTATGGGATGGTCGGAGTTCAGGGCAAGATCAATAAAGCAGATATGGGCTTGTCAAAGTTCCGCTAATGGTTGCGAGATAAGCGCCGGAATGGATGGTGCAAACGGAAAACTTCGTGGTGTAGTTCCAGAAAGGACCAGACATCGGGAAAAGGTAGGTGTGAAAAATGGTCCAAGAAACCAGGGAAGGGCACCCACCTGCTGTAGGCGCCTCAAACAGAGCGAAAAATTATGTGCGAATTCATAACTTGGCTACATCAAAGCCTGAAGGCGAGAGGAAATGGTGTAGTAATAAGCGAGTCCGAGAGTGCTAGACGAGTGTCAGATTACCTAAACTGCGCCTACGCTGGGCAGCACATGTTCTAAAATGAGAGATGGACATCTGGGACTACGAAAAGTGATTACAGCTGACATGTTTGTTTGTCATATGGATCACATAACGCCATTGGCGAATCCCTGAGTACGCTAGCACGCGTGACCTGACCATCATGAAGACGAAGTTTGGAAACGTGTGTATTCTACAGCGACAAAACCAGACCATAATAACTTCCGCGTTCGGTCTTGATGAAACCTGAGCATTGTCCATAATGATCTATGCTGTTTTGCCGTACGGATTTGTTAGCTGAACCGCTTTATTGGTCAACGTTTCGACTGAATCGTCGTCTTCAGGACCTGAAAATAGCTCGAAGCTCCTGATTTGTGGCTAATTCGACCAAGCGCCCAAACGCGCTAGGCTAGCTGCAACCACTCCCGGAAACTAGAAACTTTGAAATTCCTAGCAAAGTGACCAACCTTCTGCGGTCTCACCAGCGTTAATTCTCACTCTATATGATCAACAAGGGGCCAATGAGTTACCATTGATGATCGTATGATAAGAATTATGATCTTGATCGGTGATCTTAAAGCCCACAAGAGAGAATGAATGGCAAGAGTCCACTGGTTATGACCAAGCACTTATTTCAGTTGTTCAGCCTTGGATTTATCGCGCGGATGTGTATCGCTTCCACTATCTTTCTGGCATCGATCTCACTCTCGTAGGCTAGTATTTCACATTCGATGTCGAAATCAATGCCTTGATGTTTTTCTAGTCGGTGCCTCCCAAGTGGTGTTAGTAGACTTTCGCGCCTCTTTCCAGCTAGATGTTCTTTGACGCGTACCCCGAGCATCCTTCCCGTTTCACCAATATATATTTCGTCACAGGCTGAAAATCGAGGTTGATAAACCGTCCCTCNAGTAAAAGGAAACCGGAGATACACCATACTCTCAGGGGTTCATGGAAAATGCCTTTGTGAGCCTGATCTTCCGTGTGTCTCATCTCCATTCCATCTCCATCTAAGCATTCAACTTTGCAATCTCAGATGCTAGTTTACGTGACTCCTCCCGTTTCACTTCGCCTGCACAAATTCTTAAGGCTGTTTTGTACATGTTACGAATAATTGCACATTTAACAGCTCCAGGGTGGGCAGAGTTTGCGTGAAGCAAGATATTCTTCGAGCTGGGTTTCCGATACTACCTGGGAAAGCTTGCGATTCAACGAAGAATCACTGTTTCTCTTCGCTTCGATATCATTCTTGGCATAACTTATCCGTCCGCTAATAATGTTGGATTCTCATTTAGTGTTATATCCGTGGAGAAAAAAAGCTCTATTGATAAAGGCATTTGATAATGGTACGCTCAACTGTGAGTAATATTCAGGGCTTTGGTTGCCTACCAGTTAAACCTTCAGTCATAGTTTTTGAGATAAACAGTAACATATTGAAACTACTAATCTTAGGCATAAGCATCGACTCATTTCAAATCATTTTGTATGCCCTTAGTCCTCTGTCGACTTTCGTGTTTGAAAATATTGTTTGGCCCCCAAATGAGGAGGGGTTGATTTGCCGATTATTACAACCCAACCATAAGAAGAAGGGAAGCTCGGCGTTATCCGGGCGGCGCGAGTTATTTCCATTAAGTGATAAAAGCCCCCTGACTGGTTAGTTGATACATAGAAAAATTTTGCGCTTCCGCCTCTCCTGTGCATGCCATTGCACGTCCCTACTGAAGATAACAGCGAGAAAAACGGACATAAACAAAACACAACAAAACAAAACACACATCTGGAGAAGATGGCACTGGCAAAGGAACTGGCCCTGACGACTAGGCAGCCGCCATGTGGAAGTCATGATGGATCTGCACCATGGTTCACGTAACCTTCAATAAGGTTGTCGCATTAAAGAACATGTCTGAGGTTGGCAACACAGTGCCACCACCCGCTCTGGAAATAGAAGTCACCCTACAGACTGCATGAGCCACCCCTGATCCGCCTGCTTTCACCCAGTGTGAGGATATCCGAACGAATCGTAGACAGACATATTTTAGAACGCGTCAGCTTAATCTAGCACTGGGATTTCGCCCTCAGTTGTAGCACCACCG